ATCTATCCAATGAATAAATTGATTGAAAGATTGATTGATTGATTGATTCATCGGACTGTGATTGTGCGACTGTGTCTGTGTGGCTCCGTGTGTCTGACTGTGTGTGGGTGTGCTTTCTCTCTCTCTCTCTCTGTCTCTCTTTATGCATCTATCTCAGAGTCTCTCTCTCTCTCTCCAAAAACAAAAATTTAAAAATTTTAATCAATCAATCAATGAATCATTCAATCTTTCCAATGAATAGATTGATTGAAAGATTGATTGATTGATGGATTGAATGATTCTGTGAGTATGTGTGCGACTGTGTTTGCGTGACTCTGTGTGTCTGACTAAGTGTGTGAGTGTGTGTGCTCTCTCTCTCTACAATACGAAAAACAACAAACATTTCATCAATCAATCAATTACTCAATCAGTCAATCAATCAATCAATCAATCAATCAATCAATTAATCAATCAATCATTCAATCAATCATTCAATCCAATCAATACATTGATTGATTCATTGGTTGGTTGATTGATTGATTGATTGATTGATTGATTGATTGAACTGCTCTCTCTCTCTCTCTCTCTATATATATATGTACATATATATATTGTTCTCTTCTCTCTCTCTGCCTACGGTTTACCGGGCAGTTATGTTTGTGACGATATATATATTTTTTGTTATATATATATATATAACAAAAAAAAGTCAATCATTCAATTGATCTTTCGATCAATCCAATGACTCCGGTTTGTCGTGCGGGGTTTCTGACATGTCATCAAGGTGGTCACTCAGTCGCTGCATTGGATGTGTGTCAGGCGGTCTGCCCGAAGGTCAATCTGTCAAGAAGTTTGTGAATCTGTCTCTAAATCAGTCTCTTTTCCAGTGCATTGGTGACAATGCAAGTCACTGAGTCTGTTGGCCGATGACTGTTTGCTGATTACAGGACCGGACGTTGTTCTTTTGTGATTTGGCAGTTCATCCGTTTCGAGATTGTGTTGCCGACATTGCACCTTCTAGCACGCACCACACGCACGACGCGGGAGAGTGCCGCCCATCTGTCATGGATGACGCATCTGCCAGTTGCACGCCTGATGACGGCAGGTCAGCAGAACGGCCACCCACTTGGCCCGCGCGTGGCAACGTAACGCCGGTGTCACCGCATACCGGATAGCGCGGTTTGCTGGGAGTATCCCCTTATGGCAGGCCGGATGACATGCGATCAACAAAGAGGCCTCGTGTTCACTCTCTTTCGCCTACGGTCGTCGTCACTCCCGGCGTTGCAGTTGTGCATTCTCCGTTGCCGCCCTTGTTGCCGTCTCCAGCGCACCGTCCATACACTCCGGTGCACCCTTTGTCGGATTTCGATGCGTTGTGTTTTCCTGTGCTGTCGCCGCCATTGCAACCTCGTCGTTTGCAGTTTCTGTCGTGTGCTGCGCAACCATGTCCTCCTCCTCCACTTTTCGTTGGACGCGACGGGTTGGACTCCATCCCCCTAGAGGGGTGTTCTCTATCATCAGCAACGGTGTTTGGAAGTGAAGGGTCCACACTGCGCGACCGAGGACGTCGAAGTGTAGAACCGCGGGTCTCACATTCGTTCGGCGCATCAGGTCATGGGGAGGGGGGTGTATTGGATGATGCACGTCGTGCCTTTGTCAGGGACACACATGACCGTAATTCCGCCCGTCGCTCTCTCGTCTCCCGGTTCGATGAGGATGACATTGTGTGTGGTAGCGGAGATGGGCCCGACCATTGCGATCCTGCTGCTCAAAATGTTGGTGCGGGTCCTTCAGAACACTCGGGCGGGTCCTTGGGGCAATTCGGTTCGCAGTCAACTGGTTCCGCGAAGTACTCTCGTTTGTTCCTGACGACCACTTGCAAGGAGAGACTGCGCCTTTTACAATCTGCGATGAAAGAAATGAGCGACAAGTCTGGGGTCATGAGCGATGTCGTCGACCGAATGTTGCATTGGTCATTGCCAGCCATCCGGTTAGAGTTCGGGGACGGTGTGGCGTCGAGGATCGAGAGAACAATACCGGCCCACAGTCGTGCAGATGTGTTTCGTCTCGGAGCAGGAGGGGATGATTCGACAGCGGACGCTGAGGATGATGGCGAGCGTGAGGGTGAAGGGAGCGGTGGAGGCAATGGCGGGTCATTTTGTGGGTCGGATGATTCACTACCGCATTCAGGGCACGGGTCACAGCGTGGCCGCAGATCTCGCGGGCGGCCACCAAGCCGTGGCAGGTCGCGTTCTCATTTCGAACATGTACGTCCTTTGTGCTGGGATGATTCGAAGGATGGTGCTTTGCAAAGCGGACCTTGCAATAATCGGTCTGCACATATGTTGGAATCGATGGGGCAGTGGGAAGGCTCGAAAACGCCTGATGTCGTCTTCGTGGAGCCGGTGAAGCTGCTGCAGTTGCTCGGGTTGTTCGATTTGAGTTGCCCGCGCCACGGGGCCGGTTGTGCTGTGGATGTGTCCTCTGTCGGTTATCCTGGGCAGATTTGTCGCATTTCGCTCGCTTGTAAGAAGTCTTGTCGTTGGACATGGCACAGTGCACTGGTTGTGGGAGTTGTGTACTCTTGCAGACCTCAGCAGCAACTGTTCCATGCGACCGTTAGTGCGGGTATGACATATACCGTCGTCCTCAACGACTTCTGCATCGCGCTTGGGGTGGCACCTGTGCATAAGCCCACTTTTTACAGTTGCATGCGCGGTGAGCCGAATGTGCGTGAGGGTTGGAATGCAAAGGTTGTCAGGCAGGGCGTGCGGTATTGCGACTTGGCCATTGACACGATCATGCGATCAGGGAGACCCGTCACTTTGATGGTTGACGGTCGCTACGACTCGGCCAGGTCTGCGCAGCATTGCACTGTTACCGCGATTGAGTGTGATACTCGTCTTGTGGTGGGTGTTCACACTCTTTGGCCGAAACAGGAGGGGAAGGCGTCGAACCAACTTGAGGTTCCTGCTGTTGTGCGCCTTTTGAGAGGCTTGCTGTCGAGGGGGTTTAAGATCCAGTGTGTTGTCTCCGACGATTGTGCTGCATTGGGTCCACAGTTGGAGCGTCTGGGTATTGAATGGCAGAAGGATTGCCATCATAAGCTAAAAAAAATTTGCAAGGCACTTAGAAAAGTCGTGACACTGAAGGTGCCAAAGAAATTGAACAACCCTCATCAGTGCGTGTCGGAATCTCAGTTTATGCAGTTCACGAAGAAGAAGCTGTTGGATGCCTTGACGGACCGTTATGGACCAGGGTGTTTGACGGCAAAAGAAGAACAATTGAAGAAGAGCGACTTCGTCGCTGTTGTGATGAGCAAAATGTACCCGTACGACACGATAAAAAACAACAAAACCTTGGTCGTGGATGCAGATGGTGTGAGTGAGTTCCATATGCATGAGGTGGGGCATTGGTTTCTTCGTGCTTCCCAGCTTTGCAGAGATGAGGGCGGGGACTTTGTCACTCTGCACAATGATGTCATGATGATCACCGACCATTGGGCCGGGGACCACTCCAGGTGCGTTGCGGACAGAGAGCTTCTATGCTTAAAGGCGGGTGGCTCATCTCGGCTGCCTTTGTACACGCACGACGACCCTGTGTATGACATCATTCGCCAGACGTTGGGCAGGCATTGCAGCACGACCGTTTATTCGTACTACACGGAGTTCCGTCACACGTCGATGGTTGAGACCTTCCAGGGCACAATCATCATTTACGCGAAGAAGGCCTTGCACTTCGAAAAGTCGCGTGAGCCGCGTTTGGCGATTGCAGTCATTCGATGGAACAGTCATGCATGGCAGGATCCCTTGGAGTATCGTGTCCGCAGGCCTTCTGGAACTTCGATTCGTCCAAGGTCGAGCCACTACCGTCACAATTGGCTACCTGCCGATTCGTTGATGGATCGGTTGTCCACGTTCATCTTCGGTTCAAAATGCGTTTCAGATTGGGCTCGATGCCTTCTCGAGTACGACGACTGTGATGTGTCGGGCGAGGTCGGGTCCTCGACACCTCCTCTGCCTCGCGATCTTTTTTGCAGAGGCGAGGATACCATTGCCCGTGACGAGGACGACGTTGCTTCAGGTGCGGATCCCGACGTTGTAAGGGATGACGATGTTTTCATCATTGGTGATGAGGATGGGTTGCCTGCACAGGCGGATGCCGTGTCCGATCGATCATGCAATTCTCTATCGGACGCACATGAGACTTTTATGTTTGTTGGTTTTTTAGTTTGACGTGTTGATTGTATATATATACATATATATATATTTGCTTAGTCTGACTGCGAAGACTGATGGCGAGGCTGTATACTACCCCGTAGGGTTAGATTTGTAATTTCGTTCGACCCGGGCGTATCTGTGAAACCAACCTGTGAGGAAAATTCGTTAGGGCCACATCTGTAAATATGGGAAATATAGGCCCAGTAGTATTTCGAATTTCCTATACGTACACTTACTGCGAATAGCAGGTCCGGACTACCCCCAGGATAGACAAGCCCTAATGGCCTGAGCTGATGGACGGTCCTATAGCCTATAGTCGGGTCCTGCCGAGAGAGCGAAACTGCAACGGTATTGGTCGGTTAGTCAGTCCGATCTACGTGTAGGTTAGAGTACTGTACTCTATTAGTAGAATAAGGGAAATCGATTCCGGTCTACGTGTAGGTTAGAGTACTGTACTCTATTAGTAGAATGAGGGAAATTGATTGGGGACGAAGGGACTGTAACAAACATTGTTGTGATATTCGTTCGAGTTGGCTCATCATCAGCATCATATCAATTGTGATTTTGCTGAGGTTCTTTATTGTGATTGTTTGTTGGGAGTCTGTCGGAGAGTGAGAGTCATTGTGTGACCTCCC